TGGGGATCCTGCCTGGGGCGGGGGAAGGTGAGACTGGGGGTTCTGCCGCCTCAAAGGGGAGCCTCTGGCTTGTTGGAAGCTGGAAGGGATTCACTTAAGGTACCCACAGAGTAAGCAGAATAATGGGTTTGAACCCAGGCCCTCAGATGCAAGGGACAGGGCTCCCCCCACTTCACTGTGAGGACGGTTTTGTCTGTGCCCAGCAAGTCTGTGGCTAGGAAGGGGTGCCCATCCCTGGACGTCTGTGTGTCTGTCCATGGCTGGTGGGGTGGGGGCCGTTGGTCACTTACCGCTTTGGCTTGGATACTTGGGAGCTGAATTTGGTGAACTCCCCTGGCGCTGTCCACTCAGAGCCAGTCTAGAGTGGGGGACACAAGGGAAGTGGGTTTCCCGGGCCCCTTTTCTTGGTAGGGGCCAATGAATAGTCTGGAGGGCCTGGGGCAGGGCATCTGGCAGGGAAGGGAGGGGTGGGGGAGGGGCCTCAAACATCATCCCTGATTTGTAGTGACTGGTTGGAAGTCATCTGGCCACTGTTTAAGACCCTGTAGCTACAGGGAGCTCACTACCTCCTGAAGCAGCCAGTTCCTGACAACCTGGACTAGCCACCAGGGACTTTCCTCTTTCTTGCTTGGATCCTAAGTCTGCCCGGAGAGGGCAGACTTTGTAATTTGTAATCCCCTCTCCCTGGAAGGCAGTGGCTTCCATCCCTGAGGGCCCCGTCCCCCAAGCTTAGGGCAACTCAGTTCTCTAGGGTGAACATGCCCTTCCCCTCAGACTCTGGTGGCTTTGGCCTCAGACCCTTCACAGCCTGGACTTGGGAAGCTCATTTTTCACTTCTCTTCCAAGGACTGGGGATCTCCTAATGTGGGTTCTCCAAAGGTCCCTTGGGAGGGTTCCTGCCGGCTGCTGGGCCTGTGGAACCCAGATACTTGGCTGGGCACAGGGCCTGCTGGCAGAGTCTTTCTGGCTTGGGAAGACTCTTGTGCCTGGTCTGTGAGCAGTGAGGGCTGGTTCTCCTCACCCCATCCCATCCCTGGGCCCAACTTCTACGCTGGGGTGATCTTTGTGACAAGCCAGCAATCCATGCTTCTAACCAAGCAGAAAAATGCTGAAATGAGCCCCGCCCCCTCCCAGAGCAGAGCCTTGGGGCACATCACTGGAGACCCACTCCCCAACCCCAGCTCTGGTGGGAGTTCCTGGGCCGTACCTTGCCCACGTAGGCCACAAGCTGGGCACCTGCTGGGCTTTCATCTGGGCTCAGCCAGAACTCAGAGTTATCATCTGAGGCCACAGAGAACTGGACATCACCTGAGGACCAGGCAGGGGCCCAGAGTCAGGGCTGGCAGGGAGTTCTGACCCGTCCCAAGATATGGGGAGTCTCAGTGATTCTGGCCCAGATCTCCAAGTTCCCCAGGCTCTCCCATCTCCCACTGTTGTTGAGATTCCAGCAGAAGCTCCTATCAGGGTGTCCTGGAGTTGGCTACAGAGGGATGTGCACCCTTCCCTCCAGACCTCCCCTAGCGCCCGTCCCCCATACCATCTCTGCTGGGGTGGATATAGCCAAAAATCCGCAGTCCATAATTCTTCCACTTGGGTGACACAGCCAATTTCTTCACAGTAGTGCGGGTCTGGGGAGGGCCATGGGGGAGGGGTGGCAAGCCGGCAACTTCTTGATCCCAGGGTCCACTCCTTCCAATGCTCTCCATACTGATACCCTCACAGACCCCTTATCTCCCTTAACACAGCTTCCTAGTGCCTCTTTGGCCTCTGGTCTCTCCCCATAGACTCTCCCAGCCTCTGATCTTCATCTCCAGCCTCCCTCCAGTGTCCAATACCTTCTTGGCCTCTGGTCTCTACCTCCATTCCTGCCTCCCCGTGCCCCTTCAATCTCTTCAACCCCCCCCCAATGTTCTCCAGTCTCTCAATTCCCCTTCCTTAGACTCTAGTCCAGTGCCCCTCCCCTAGCCCACTACCCCCTCCTCAGCTCCCCCCAGGTACACACTCACATGGGGAAACAGTGGGAAATGAAGATTCCTCCTCAGGCTCCCCACAGTGGCCCCACACCAGTCCTCAAACACGTGCAGGTTAACCTTCCCCCGGTACTGTGTATGCAAGAGGCCCATGGACCTGTCACACTGAGTCCAGCAGCCAGTGAAGGCCGGTGTGTGAGTGGCAGCTTCCTCCAAGGCCCCCTCTCCCCCTGCCCCATGCTCACCTCCTCCTGCCACAGGGGGACCTGGTGGGTGAGGTTTAGGGGGGATGACTTTCCCGTCTGGCCAGGGAAGGTGCTCAGCTCCTGCCCCTCCACCTGCAGGAGAGATTGTGACTCAGTGTGGAGATAGGGGATGGGGCAGGAGGGAGACACCCCCTCCCCCTCACCTGCTTGGTGCACAGGACCACTTACCAGCTGGTCTTCCTCAAGACTCTCACTGGAGTCTTCCAATCTCTTGGGGGGGGACACGACCTGGGGGCCCCCCACCCCCTTCCCAGCATCTGTGACCTCACTCAGCTTCTCTCCATCTGCAAAGGCAGCACATGGGGGAAATGTTGCATGGCTCCCCCATCAGAGATGAGGCTCCCTAGATCTCCCCCCCATCTGCTTCCTAGTCGGGGGGTCTGGGTCCCAGGCCTGAAAGCTCTCCCAATCTTCTCCCCAAGTCCCTGATCCCCAGCACAGGAGAGCCCTGCCAGGGAGTCGGGGGATGGGAAAGGATGGGGAGAGGTGATGGTGATGACCCACGTTCCCATGGCCTGCTGCTATGAAGGGATGTGTTCTGAGTCTCGGGAATGTAAACCAAAGGGCTTGAAACTGAAGGGAAGGAGGAGAAAACTTCCCGCATGCACCCCAAAGTTAGTCTGTGCAGATGGCTAGCGCAGAGACCCTCCACAGGCCTCAGGGTGTACTGCCAGCCAGGCCCAAACACACAGGCTGCCCACTGTCCCTCGAGGTCACAAATCAAAGGAGGCAACTTTGATCTGATCCCCCAGGTACTGGGAGATCAGGCAGGTCTGGAGGCTCCACATGGGACTGTGGCTCTGGGTGGGCACACTGCAGCAAGGACGCATTCCAGGTAGGAAACCCGGGGGTCAGAAACACACAAGGTGTGTTTATCATCAGATCACATGAGAGACTACTCAGACAGTAGGGAAAACAGAGAAGGGGCCCCCAGCGGTGCCATAGCAGTGACAGGGGCTTCAGTGATCCAAAGCCCTCTGCCCAGAGCAGAGCAGCGTGTCTCTCACTGGGGGAGGGGAGGCTGCCTGCTCGGAGGGGAATGATGGGATGCTTGGTGGGAGGGGGTGTGATGATTCCATGGAAGAGTCTGGGATGCAGGAGAGGCGGGCTGGATACAGTCCCACACAAGACCCCCAGATTTGGGGAGAACAGGCTTCCAAGGTTTCAGAGAAGGGAGCATGGAGACCCCTTGGCCAGTCCGACAAAGGGAAGCCAGCCCAGGAGAAAGGAGAATCAGGAGTGAAATTCTGAAGGGCCCAGAGGATGGGCAGGAGGAGGAGCAGGGCTGGGGAGGGGACATCCCCAAAGGCCGACCTGCCAGTGGGCACTGGCAGAAGGCAGAAGGCAGCTGGGAGGGCCAGTAGGAGACGAAAGTTCTAGGACGGGAACCAAGGCGGGGAACCTGAAAGGCCAGACCAGGGATGACGGAGGGGCTCTGCACATAGTAAGGGAGAAGGGCTTTCTTCTGCCAAGAAATGTCTGCAGGAAGGATGGTCCAGTGTGAAAGGACCTGGCTGCAGACCTCACCTCTGATGCTCACTGCCTGGGTCAATCGCCTAATCTCTCGGGGCCTCAGTTTCCTCATTCTGCCAAATGGGGAAGTGGGAGCAGATGACCTTTGAAGTCCCCTCCAGCTCTAGGACCTGGACTCAGCCTTGAGACCCCACACATTGGTGCTGCCCCTCCCTGTGTCCTCCCACAAATCAGTCCCTCTGAATGTCTGGACCTTCTCTCGATGGCTACTCCTGGCTTCCAGAGAGCACCCACCAGTCAAAATTCTCTGGAAATCAGAGGCCTCAGGGTTGGCCAAAGAGAGAGCCTTCCAGGTCTGCCTGAGGCTAGGGAGCACATACATGCTGGTGAATCGGGGAGAGGCACGCATCTAACCCCAGGAAGGGCTGGCCCCTGCTAACTTTCCTACAGGCCAGTCCTACCAGAGTGGAGTCAGATTTTACCCTGGGTAGGAGGTCCAGACTGAGAAAGGTTACACAGGTGGAGAGTGTGCATGGCACCATGTTGCAGAAGGGAGCTGCCAGCTGGGCCCAGTACCCCTCACTGCCCTTCAAGTCTCTCTGCTGCCTGAAGACGGGCCCCACATTAGTGGAGTGACCGCTCTTCATATACTCCAGGACCAAACCTGGACCCCTCCACTGGGATGCCTGTCTGTATCTCAAGCTGGGCAGATACCACACTGGGTACCTTGTCTTCCACCCACACCTGTCCTGAATTCCAGCCCGGCTGCCTGACCATCCAGGCTGGCAGCCTCAGTGGCGGCATCCCAGTACGTCAGGCTGCCGAGCCTAGCCCTCCTGTTATAGACCGGGGAAAAGCCCGTCTAATGCGTCCGTCACCTTCCTCCCTCAGGTCCTCGCTTCTGCTTTGTCTTCTCGTCAACCCGTTCTGGGGGTCAACACACAGAACCACCACCCTAGGCAGATCCTCATCTCCTCTCACCTGGACTACTGCAAAAGTCTGAACTGGGCTCCGGGCTTCCAGACTTTCCCCTCCAATCCATCCTCCACACAGCTAAGGCACACTTCTGACCTCACTGGATCCCACTACCTACAGGATAAAATGCACACTCCTAATCCTGGCAGTCAAGGCCCCTGACCACCTGCCCCTCCTTCCTCCATGCCTTCACAGCCCCCATCTCCAGACCCAGGGCAAAGTGGCCAATGCGCCTCTATCCTCCATGGTACCCAATGCAGAGGGAAGAAAGCATCTGAGGGAGGGAAAGGTCAATGTCGGATGGAAGGGGCTGATGGGCCCTCTGGCTCTGGCTCTCTGATTCAGCAGTTCCTCAGGTTGGTTTCCGGGGAGTGATGAGCAGATGCTGAGGTTTTAACTTCCCCATGTTTCTGAGAAACTCGCTCCCCATGTTCTATACCTCCCCACCCCCATGATCCTGTGGGGCCCTTACCTCACATTGAACCCAGCTACGTGCTAGAGAAAGGGGGTGGGGCTGAGGGACTCCTCTTCTAGGGGTTAGTCCTCAGAAACAGGAGAATAATGGCTGTCCCTTTGGGGGACTGTCTGGTATCCCCACTCCTTTGCCTGGAAAAATTCTGGGCTTCCTCATCAGAGGCTGTCCTCTTCTCTCAATTCACTGCCACCTTCCTCGCTCAGACCCTAGACTGTATGGTCTCCTCACTTGCACTCTGTCCCCCTCTTCAGTACATCCTGTACTCAGCCACCAGAGTTCCCTCCTAAAGCAGTGACTCTACTCCAGAATGTCTGTTCAGTGGCTCCCTATGGCTATCAACCTAAGGCCTAACTCTGCGCTCGGGTTGAAAGGGTTTTCCACTACAGCCTCTGCCAAGGTGTTCTGCACACATTCTACTTTCTAGCTACTGCTCCCCAAACCGGGCACCTCATTTCTTGCCTCTGTCTACGTGACAGTCCTCCATGCCTGTATACACACCATTTTCACCTTGGCCTTTCCCCCAGTCTGAGGCTCAGCTCAGGGAATGACAACTCCTGGGGGACTTCCCCGACACCCCTGCTCAGTCAGACTCTCACCCACCACAAGTATCCTTGTATTTACTTCTCTGCTGAATGTCTGCCACCCCAGAGACTGTTTTGTTATTGTAAAACTAGATCTTAGTAGGGGACTCTTCAAAGATGTGTGTGTGTGTGTGTGTGTCTGTGTGTGTGTGCGCGTGCGTGTGTGCATGCGAGCGCTCACACACTACCGTGCTGAAGCAGGTGTGGCCCCAGCCCTTGGAAGGAAATCTGAGTGGGGGGAGGGGACAGAGAAGTACCTAAGGAGGAATGGCCACGGAACCCCAACTGGACTAAAGGGAGGGGCGAGATCCTAGATACTTCTGGGGAGCTCCTTTCCTTTCTGGGAGTCCCTCAGCAGCAATTTCATGCCCAAGCTGTTTGGCCCTGCCCTCACCAGATGTCAAGCCTCAGTTTCCAATAAACAGCCTTGGGATGAAAAGATGCCACCAAAGGACACTGCCTCAGTATTGGGCCAGAGACAATGACCTCTCCCTTGCTGTTCAGCCGACACCAAACCCACAGGACAGGTTACAGGATGTGGGACAGAATCCCAGTCTTCTACCTGCCCCCCCCCCCAATGAGTGGAAGAGACAACAGAAAATCCTTCCACGGCCCCAGGGACTCAGGATTCTATCAGAGCCAGTGGGCACAGGGCCCCGGAAGGAGGTGCTACTGGTTTCAATCACATTCTCAATGCCTTCTGCTGAGAAGGCTAGGCACCTTCTTCCCCAGCACCCAATAGACAAGCCGCTGAAAGCCAGTGCTGACAAGTGGAATGAGGGGAACCGAAAGACCAGTCTGAACCTGCGGCGGAGAGCGCCGAGCTGGCCAGCGACCACAGCCGGGGATCAGGGAGTAGGGAACCATCGATGGTCTTAGAGCAAGGGAAAGACAACGGTCAGAAATGTGCTTTCTCTGAGAGGAAGATGAACACCCTCACAGATCAAGGGAGTTAAGAAAACCAGGACAAGGGAAGTTCCACCTGTGCTCTGTCTGCACAGACGTCTCTAGCAGTGGGTTTCAGTGGTTCCCTTCCCCGTCCTAACACTGGCCTGCCTCGCCTTGTCCTGACGGGGTCTGAGAGCTTCCTGTCTAAGCCCCCAAAGGCCCCCCACATCCTTAACCCTTTCCTCCCCAGCTACTTCCTGAGGTGAGGCTATCAGTGTGCCAGGACGAAGCCGCTCCCCCGGCTCCCCCGCCCAAGTTATCAGGCGGATCCAAGGCCCTAGGGGTGTGTGGAGGGGAAATGGAGGCAGCTAGGGGACCCTACCTGGGCCGGAGCCTCCGCTGAGGCGCAGCCGAAGGGCTCGGCCCTGGCGCACGAGGCTCAGGTGCAGGTAGGTGAGCCACGCGGCACAGGTCAGCAGCACGAGCAGCAGCAGCAGGCGGAACTGCTTGCGGAGCTTCTTCACTGGGAACCGCAGCATGGTCAGGGTTGGGGTCCGAGCTAGCCCGCCCAGGGCTTCCTGGGCCTGCCTGCCCTCCTGCTCTCCCTCCCTCCCCCTCCTGCTCCGGCAGTCCTTAGCTGCCTCGGCCTCCAGGCACCACCAGCCTCATGCTCCCCGAGCTCTGGGCAGGGAAGGGGCGGGCAGGGCTGGAATGGACTAGGCTGGGCAGAGCCCGAATGGGCCGAGCCGGGCAGGGAAGGACTGGGCAGGGCCGGCGCTCCCTCCCTTCCTCCGTCCCTTCTTCCTTCCCTCTCTCACTCTAGGGACAGCCAGGCGCAGACCCACTTCAGCGTCCACCACCCGGGGCCCGGGCCCGGGCCCGGGCTTCGCGCAGCGGGCAGGGGGCCGGGGCTTGGGGCCAGCGCATGGCCCCCTCCTCCCTCCTCTTCCTCCTCTTCCTCCTCCTCCCTTTCACCTTCTTTCTCTCTCCTCCCGCTCCTTCTCCCCCCTTTCTCCTTCTTCCTCCTCCTCCTCCTGGTCCCCCTCCTCCCCCTCCCCTCCCTTCCCCCTCTTCCTCCCCCTCCTCTTTCTCTTCCTTCTCCTCCTCCTCCTCCTCCTCCTCCCTGCCCGCCTTTGTCCTTCGCAGTCGCCCGGGACGGGGCTTCCCAGGCGGGACCGGCTCTGCAGCCTTAGCCCCGGGGGCCCCAGCTGCTTTCTTGCTGTTGGAGCCGGGCCGGAGCTGGACCGAGAGTAGCGGGAGCAGAAGCGGCAGCAGCACCAGCGGCGGCCGCGCTGCGATGCTACCCACCGTGAAACGGGCCGCGGGCCGGCCGCCGGCGCCAGGCCAATCAGCGACCGCCTTCTCCAGACCAGCCAATGGGCTGCCAGCGGAGGCGGAGCCCGCTGGGGTTAGGCTGCACCTAGCGTTCATCTCCACGCCAACGCGCAAACATCCACCTGGCGGACGGAACCATCGATAGCCCGGCCGGGGAGGGGAGATCTGGCGGCTCGGCCTCCTGTGGCTCGGATCTCGTGCCCCCGGGCCCCGGACCCGGCCGACGGAGCGGATGCTACCTAAGTCCGTGGGGCTGTGCCCCTGTCTGGTGGCGGACCTGGGAGCAGGCCGGCCAGGATGCGGGGAGGGATCTAAGCTTCCCCCCTCGTCACGGATGGTCCCTCCCCGGCGGGCCTGAGGGGCGGTGGCTGCGGGCGGGCGGGGGGCGGGAGGGATGCTGAAGCTGGACCAGGGAGGAGGGAGAAGGATGGAGGATGCTGCTGGCTAGCTACCGGCAGGCCTTTCCAGGTTCGGCCGGGCCAGGAAGCCTCTGCCCGGGGCTAAACCGCTTCCCCTCAGCATGCCTGGGATTTGGTGGTCGTGACCCCCGTTTATGCGTGTGTACCGGCAGGGAACGGGTACCGTCTGGGGAGCTGCCCTGGGCTCCAGCGCGTGTACGGATGTGTGCGTGAGTGTGCGGGTCTGTGCGCGTGAGTGTGCGGGTCTGTGCGCGTGAGTGTGCGGGTCTGTGCGCGTGAGTGTGCGGGTCTGTGCGCGTGAGTGTGCGGGTCTGTGCGGAAGTGTCCATGTGCGGCTGAGGCCGTAGAAGCACTGGCAGTGGGGTGAGCCTTCCAGGCTCAGGACCAGAGGACCCTGAATTCATGGGAAAAGCTCATCTGGTCCCCTGACCTAGGGCATTTATTGCAATCAACATGTCTGAATCCCTGCGATGTACTTTTCCACCTCTGCCAAGGAAATTCCAAGTGTAAACATTGTCCCTAGCCCGTGTCCTGGACACTCTGCTGGGCATGGGACTTACAAAGACAAAACAGAGGGTCTGCCCTCAGGAGATTCCTTTCGTAGATAGGGCAGGTCTATGCGTAAGCAAACACTCAGTACTCTGACGAGAGGAGACAAAGAAGGCCAGGGATGGCCCCCAGCGGAAGGGGGCACACAGCCTGAACCTTGAAGGAAGAGAAGGGTTTCAACAGGTGGAGAGAGAGAGATGCTTTGTGATCTGTCCTGGATGATTTCAACCAGTCCTTGTTAAGCACCTGCTATGTCCCAGGCATTGAGAATACAAAGCAAAAACAAAAGCAAACAACAAAAAACAAAACACGAAGCAGTCCCTGACGCCAATGAGGATACATTCTTTGGTTGTGTGTGTGTGTGTGTGTGTGTCTGTCTGTCTTTGTTCGAGGTAAAAGAGAGAAAGACATAGAGAGAAATAAATACAGAAAGAGAGAGACAGGGAGAGACACATAGGGAAATGACTGTGTCTGTGATACACCGCCTACAACATGCCAGGCTCTGTGCTAAGTTTGGGGGATACAAAGAAAGGCAAAAGTATGGTCCCTGCTCTCAAGGAGGTCACAGTCTAACAGGAGAGACAACGCTCTGACAGCTAGGTACAAACAAGCTCTGGACAGATAAACTGGAGATAATCAGCAGAGGAATAGTACCAGGACTAAAAGAGATTGGGAAAGACTTCCCATAGATGGCAGAATTTTAGTTGGGACCTGAAGGAAGCCAGGGAAGGTGAGAGATGTAGATGAGGAGGAGGAGTATTCGGACTGCTGCTCGGCCACTGAAAATGCCTGGAGTCTGCAGATGGGGAGTCTTGAGTGAGAAACATTGAGCAGTCCAGGGTGACTAGGCCACAGAGTGTGTGTGTGTGTGTGTGTGTGTGTGTGTGTGTGTGTGTGTGTGTG